GGTGATTTTTAAATTGATGTACAATGTTAAGATAGGAGGAAACTTTGAAGTTGTTATAAAAATAAACAAACATGTGTATATATAAATTTGTTTATTTTCTTACGCAAAAGACTAGGTAAACAGAATAAGATTATCAAAACATGATAAATGAAGACAAAAGTTGAGGAGATTAAAGATATGACAAGTGACTTTGTTTAAGCAAAAACTAACCATTTAGATTCTCTGCCAGATGAGCTCTGGTGTACAGAAGCAGTACCGTGGCAAACGAAAGCAGATTGAGCAATGAAAGAACTTCAGCCCATTGCTCATAGATTATGGAACCTCTATAAAATCGAAGCGCTGCACCCAAAATATACAGTAACAGTAATAGGATGTACGATACAAACCCGTTCAGTTTCTTCCAAACTCGTTCACCTGCAAAATGAGCTCGAAAATTTTAAACATAATGCAACGACTTTACATGTCATTGATAAATAGACTGTACCGAATATTCTGAATGCTGTCAACGAATATATGCACTTGTAAATTATTGTCTTTCAAGATTGTTTTTGTTAAAAACTTTCAACTTTCTTTAAACAATATGCCTCATATACACTGAAAAGAAAGAAACTTTAAGATGCTTTCCAGCTACTGAATATCTTCTACGTCATTCGTGATAAAACGGTTTTAATGAGTAATTAGAACTGATTCTATGCGTATACACTGTACGACTTTAATACACTAATACTTAACCAGCTCTAAAAAATTTTGAAAAATACAACAATACTATTAGCAGTAAAGTGTCTACTAAAGTTTAATTTTTTTTCTTACAACAATATTATTAGCAGTGAAGTGTCTACTAAAGTTTCATTTTTTTCTTTTGCTTCAAATACTTAGACCTTTTAATGATTAGCAAAAAAAATTTGACAAAATTAGGGCTCTGTTGGTTTTAGTTTTCGGCCATTTTTGTTTATGCTATATCCTAAATGTGGGCACAACAATTGGGAAATCTGATGAGCAGAGTGGTAGCCGCAGCTGTAACAACAAAGATGAAGGCAGCAGAGCACCAACTGTTCTTCACAATTTGATGATAGCTTTAGAAGTCGCTATGGAAGTGGATCGTTAAGAGCAGAGCAGTTTATTTGCTTTTTGCTCAAACTCGACAGATTTTCCATACTTCGAACAGTTTTGCTATTGGAAACCGTAGAGGACACTTTGCTCTACAAAAATCCTCTTTTAATCAAATCTGCTGTACGGCGATTCAGTTGGTGCTAATGATACCAATTAACATCTGAGCGTATAAAAAGGTCAAAAGCAGAGCGGAAAAAAGAGAAAACGTTCTTAACCATTAAAAGGATTTATGGACTTCAAAGTTCACTTGGATATTTCAATTTCACCCCTACAACCAACAGCAACAACAAAAACTCTACTCTTTTAGAAAATAACGAGGAAAACTTTTGTTCCGGGTTTTAAATGCTGTTGCTATATCAGCTTTTTTAGCAACAGTACTGCAGTAACACTGAAGTATTTTGATGAACAAACTGTCCAGAACTAGGCTTTACTTAAGTCTACCAATTTATTCTATTCCACATTTTATTTCTAAAATTTCGAGGGAAAAAAGAGCAAAAGTTCTTTAGAATTGCTTTTTTTTTATTTTCTGCCAGTTAAACTGTATTCTGACGGGTTTAGAAAGCCAAACTTTTTAGAATAATCTTTTAGTTTAGCCGAATTTTTTTCTTGCCTCTTTTTTTGTTTTAAGTTTAAACAAAGATTTATTTCAGCAACAGTTTAACTGAAACATAGTTCCAAGAAAATCTGAACATAGTTCTAGTTGAATCAGTGATGATCAATACAGTCTAAGATGACAGCATTTCGTTCACACACTCAGAGATAAATCGCCAAAGAGTTGCTCTGACGAAGTATTATTAAAAGACGATGAGGACGAAGAGCATTCATTATTTAGCATAAAAAATTTGTCTAGCTCATTAATCTACAGGTAATAAGATCAAAACCGATTTGTTAAAAAACTGCAATAAATTTTGTCATTCTTGTTCTTCTTTTTTTATCTTTTGCCGCTTAAATTTAACCGTTTTTTTTTTTTTTTTTTTTTTTTTTTTT